ATGCATCGAACAGAATTGCTTTCAAGAGGAGATAGAGGAACACGGTGACGGAGAAGTAGCGCCCTTGTTTTATACTTTGGCGTGGAACCAGCTTGATGGCTTCGGGCAGGCTGCGTGAAGAAACATAAACGAGCCATCGGTAGCACGAAGTGAAGAGCAGATCGTTTTTGGTTGTATGTTTTATCCTTTGTGGTGGTTAGTCTTTTCGTTTATCTTTTGTTACCAACCCGATGAGCCTTGGTTCTTTGACTGCAGCCAGGAAATACGTTATCTCCCAAAGGAATCAGGTGGCAGGCTTAGTCTGGGTACAGGAGCCCAGCGAGCCGCCATATTGCGTAAAAGGAATTCACGACTCTACTCAAAGATGAATAAAATGACAGCTGATACAACTACGATATGATTTTCTTTCACTAAAGTTAATATTCATGTTCATCCACCCAGACTTGCACATCTTTCGAAAAAATTGATTGCTTTCTTCACATTTTACAGTGCTGACACTTTCCAGACGTTGACAGCAGCAATGTATTCATGCTCTATACTCACTTGATATAAAACCTTTTTTCCACTAATAGGGCCATTGCTCGTTGTGACACCCGATTTATTCCTCCGAACCATTGACTAATATGTTTCCCTTTGTTGATGGGATCCTGTAAAACACCACGCTTGAGTTTTGTATATTGCTTGATTTATTGGAGTACCTCTAAGTAATCTTCGTATGAGATGTCTTTCTGATTACTATAAAAGACATAACCATGCTCGTCGAGCAGGACGCACCACCGACGATCATCCTGGAAAATAACGCTGTGAATTAAAAACGAAATGGAAAAAGCTGGAGCAACACAGATTAAACATTGTTGGAATAGCCAGAAAGCTTTGACTACATCGAAGATACTCACCGAAGGCTGACAGCCATGCTCTCCCATCAGATTCACTACATAGTCATATGCAAACTCGAACCCAGCTACACCTACAAAGATTAAGACTTGTTGATTTTGAAGTTGATCAAAACAGTTGGTACTCAGCATATGTGAGTCTTCTATTTTGCTGTCCAGTAAAGGAAGTTTTACCTAATAAGGCATTTCCGAGGTAGATAGCCTTCGTTCCTTGAGCCAACATAGTGAGATTTTCATTTAGTCCGTAACCAGTGAGTTGCGTTTCGGATTTGTACCAGATCTTCGCTAAACACATAAGGAGAAAATCCTTCATCTTATTCATATGACGAGCTATATGGAAGAGAGATATAAATAGATATAGATGGAGATATATGCTAAGTAGGAAATAGTCTTAACCCAGCCATTTCAAACAAGCTGTATATCATCGGAC